TTATATTTTGAATTATTGTCTGCCAAATTAATTTGTTTCCCTTTATATAAAGAAATTTCCACCATAAATTGGTGCAGAAAATGTCTCCGGAATGCAGGAAATTAAGAGGTTTTGCTCAAAATCTTTTGGGGGAGGACCCCAGACCCTCCACCCATATATTTCATCAACAAATATTTCTTCAAAATGCTGTGAAAATATCTTCTTATTTATATCTTCTATTCTTCGTCTTGTTCTCCTGACCATAGTTTTTCATCACACCCCTAATCTCAAACCTTATGTTCCACCACCGGTCTGCTACATCTTCCTTTGCACTGACTGTGTATAACTGAGCAAGTTTTTGTGTTTGGACTTCTCTGTGCCTGTGTTCACCCTGGTTTCATTCAGAAATAACATAAAAAGGTCATAAAGCTTTAGTTAGAAATGACCTTGTGAGAAGAAGGATACAGAACATCTGTGAGTCTTTGATGTTGCCTACTGATGTTCTACTCTATTCTAGTAAAGTTATGTCATTTTATGCATTTTCTGTTTGGATTACTTGTGTGTTGAAATACGCTGCACTTTTAGGTATTTTGCTTAATTGTTTTTGAATTAATGGACAAAAGCAGAAACACCCAGAAGTAACATTAAAATATGATGAACACCTTGTAAAATTGTCTATTTTGGTTCAGGAATTTTTTTGACAATGACTGCAGATAATCAGTCAGATAATTGAGGATTTTGTCCACTTACATTTCCTAAATCGTATGGTAGTATGATCCACTAACTGATTGCTAAATTCAGTTATTAATGTTTTTTGTCTGATGTGCTCTGTGTTACAGTGGTACAGAGTCAGAATGACTGGGGAGTGACGTACACTTCTACTGAGATCTGTGCCTTCAAAGGATCAACTGTGGACATGAGCTGCACCTACAGATACCCATCCAGAATAAATGGCAACGATACTACAGTTGAGAAAACATTCTGGTTTAAAGGTGATGAAATTGTGGATCTGAAAACAAAGTCAGAGTATTCAGGTCGGGTGACGTATATCTTTAATGAGAACTGCTGCACTCTGAGAATCACAGACCTGAGAGAGAGCGACTCAGCTGAGTACAAGTTCAGGTTCATAACAAACCAACCAGGTGGGAAATATACTGGTTCACCTGGAGTCACTCTGTCTGTCACAGGTAACAATTTCATCTGAATATTTATTATTTAGTTTCATGTGTTCAACACCTTATGAAGGTTACTCACATCATATGTTGACAGTTCAATCTAAAATTAAGATTTTTGTCCCTTATTCAGATCTCCAGGTGCAGGTGAGCAGATTACAGGTCTATGAGTCTTCTAACTGGGCAGAGCTGAAGTGTCACAGCAGTTGTCTTCACCTGGTCATCCTTCCTACATCTGGTACAAGAATGGACAGAACATTTCAGAAGGAACATCTTATTCAGCCTACTTTGATCCTGCAGACAGTTTTTCCTGTGCTGTAGGAGGATATGAGAAGTCCCGCTCTCCTTCAGTGTGTGAGTTTACATCCAGTCTTCCACTGACATGACACCATCTGGTGGAGCCTTTAACCTATTGTACTGCACATTAACTGCATGTAACTCATGTAACTCATTTGAATGTGGTATTTGGTGATTCATTGTAGGACTGGATGAAAACCAAATCATTTCCCCATGAGATTGTAGACATGTTGCATAATTAGTTTTTATTCCCTGTCTTCACTGTAATATAAAACTCAGAATGTACTGATGTCTTGATTGATTGATTGATGTTTACCCACTAGAGGTCATCAGTAGACATGGTGGTGTCTAAAAACACTAAACCAGGATCGTTTGCTTGGTCTCCTGTCTTCAGCACTGCCGGACTCTTTATGTCTGTGATGTTTATGTGCTTTAGGTTTAGAACATCCTTCTATTTTGGTATATTTAACATGTACCTTAGGTGAACCCCCTTATACACACACACTACAGTAGCTGCAGCCTAACAAATGAATGAAAGAGAATGATGAAGGAAACTTCTTAAAGGACATAAAGATTACCACTCTCCTTCAGTCCATTGCTTCAGTATCAAAGTGTCCAACTTGTATCCATGGTAACAAGAACCCATATAGTTTCTGATACAGGAGGAAATCAAGCTGCACCTCCGCTTTATGTTCATATGAAATATTGTCCATTTATGCTCCACTGTGAAAACTCAACCTCATCTTGAAATGAAATGTTACATTGTTCACGTTTTCTCCTCCAGATGCTCCAAAGCTTCCCTCTGTGTCAGTGAGTCCCTCTGCTGAGATAGTGGAGGGCAGTTCAGTGACTCTGACCTGCAGCAGTGATGCTAACCCAGCAGCTAATACACCTGGTATAAATATCATGGAAATCCAAACCTTCATCTTCCCAGTAAAGAACCACAGCTTATCTTGAGCTCCATCCTGCCCTCTGACTCTCGAGAGTATTACTGTGCAGTAGAGAATGATCTGGGGAGGAGGACATCTGTATTAGTCCCTATTAATGTGAAATGTGAGTAAAACACAGCAAATTTAAAAAGCTTTAAGCAGACAATGACAAGTTTTTAAAGCTTAATTATCCAGTTAAATGTTTTGCTAATCATGCACTTTCTTCAGCTCTAACATCCAGCATCCAACATCGGCGTGGCCACAGGCTTCTGTCCTGTTATCGACTCTATATCCCCAAAATTACTTGTGCATCTCAGAAAATTTCAGTATTGTGAAAAGGTTTATTTTTTCCCCATAATTGAAGTCATAAAGTGAATGTAGTCTAGATTCACTACACATAAAGTGAAATTCAGGCCTTTGTTTGTTTTACTCTTGATGATTATGGCTTACAGCTCATGGAAATCAAAAAATAAAATTAGAATATTAGTTCTGTTATATTGTAGCTCATTTCTTGGACATGTCTGTGCCTGGTGGCTCTTGATGCACTGACTGCAGCCTCAGTCCACTCCTTGTGAAACTCCCCCAAGTTCTTGAATCGGCTTTGCTTGACAATCTTCTGAAGGCTGCTAATCATGAAAATTAAAACATAAAAGGCTTTTAGTTTTTCACTTTATGTCTAAAAAATCTTTTATTTACACAATATTCTAATTTTCTGAGATGTACCTGTATGTTCATATACTATACTGGATTTTGTTAAGAGGCAAACGTGTTTGGATTGTAGGAAGGGCTAAGGTTTTGAACCCCATGTAATTAAATAACAGTCCAATCATCATCAGTCATCTGCAGTAAAGTAGAAACACTTGTATGTTTCTTTTAAATAGCAATTGTGACATACATGTCAAAACATAAATGACATATAAAGTGTATCTTATCTGGTACTAACCAGTAATATATCACTAAGTATATACCTGTATATCCAACTCTGCTTTTCGATAGTCAATCAGGGCCATTACTGCAGTATTTACAACACATTGCAACATTCTTGTGTGATATAACTTACCTCTGTTTACTCATAAACTTGTATGAGGGACATTCCTCTGGTCTCCTCTTAGATTTTAATGAGTATAACTCAAAAGGCCACAACACACAACTCTGCCTGCTGCCAGTCACAAAACCATCTCCAAAGTTTCAGATGCTTCCACACTCAAAACTATTACTCATTTCAGCACAACACAAATCTGTCCTCATTTTTGTTCATTTATTTGATCTTTTCCAGATGCTCCAAAGCTTCCCTCTGTGTCAGTGAGTCCCTCTGCTGAGATAGTGGAGGGCAGTCAGTGACTCTGACCTGCAGCAGTGAGGCTAACCCAGCAGCTACTTACACCTGGTACAAGGAGAAAGGCAATCTAAACCACCTTCATCCTCGCAATACAAAAACACAGCTTGTCTTCGGCTCCATCCAGTCCTCTGACTCTGGAAAGTATTACTGTGCAGCTGAGAACGAGCTGGGGAGGAAGAAATCTGAATCAGTCTTTATTGATGTGAAATGTGAGTAAAACACAGCAAATTTAAAAGGCTTCAAGCAGCCAATGACAACTTTTTAAAGCTTAATTATCCAGTCAAATGTTTTGCTGATCATGCACTTTCTTCAGCTCTGCCTGTTTCACATTCACAGTCTGCTGCTGTAGTTCACTGAGCAGCTACAGTAGATGATGAAAAGGCAGATTTATTTACAATTGGTCTGCCAATCTGCACAGATGTTCAGGGGATTCAAACCTTCAGTAATCCAGAAAACCACCTCTAAAGTTTCAGATGCTCCACACAAATACAACATCCAGCATCCAACATCTGGCGTGGCCACAGGCTTCTGTCCTGTTATCGACTCTATATCCCCAAAATTACTTGTGCATCTCAGAAAATTTCAATATTGTGAAAAGGTTTATTTTTTCCCCATAATTGAAGTCATAAAGTGAATGTAGTCTAGATTCACTACACATAAAGTAAAATTCAGGCCTTTATTTGTTTTACTCTTGATGATTATGGCTTACAGCTCATGGAAATCAAAAAAAATAATTAGAATATTAGTTCTGTTATATTGTAGCTCATTTCTTGGACATGTCTGTGCCTGGTGGCTCTTGATGCACTGACTGCAGCCTCAGTCCACTCCTTGTGAAACTCCCCCAAGTTCTTGAATCGGCTTTGCTTGACAATCTTCTGAAGGCTGCTAATCATGAAAATTAAAACATAAAAGGCTTTTAGTTTTTCACTTTATGTCTAAAAAATCTTTTATTTACACAATATTCTAATTTGTACCTGAGATGTACCTGTATGTTCATATACTATACTGGATTTTGTTAAGAGGCAAACGTGTTTGGATTGTAGGAAGGGCTAAGGTTTTGAACCCCATGTAATTAAATAACAGTCCAATCATCATCAGTCATCTGCAGTAAAGTAGAAACACTTGTATGTTTCTTTTAAATAGAAATTGTGACAAATACATGTCAAAACATAAATGACATAAAGTGTATCTTATCTGGTACTAACCAGTAATATATCACTAAGTATATACCTGTATATCCAACTCTGCTTTTCGATAGTCAATCAGGGCCATTACTGCAGTATTTACAACACATTGCAACATTCTTGTGTGATATAACTTACCTCTGTTTACTCATAAACTTGTATGAGGGACATTCCTCTGGTCTCCTCTAAGATTTTAATGAGTATAACTCAAAAGGCCACAACACACAACTCTGCCTGCTGCCAGTCACAAAACCATCTCCAAAGTTTCAGATGCTTCCACACTCAAAACTATTACTCATTTCAGCACACAAATCTGTCCTCATTTTTGTTCATTTATTTGATCTTTTCCAGATGCTCCAAAGCTTCCCTCTGTGTCAGTGAGTCCTCTGCTGAGATAGTGGAGGGCAGATCAGTGACTCTGACCTGCAGCAGTGATGCTAACCCAGCAGCTAATTATACCTGGTACAAGGAGAATGAAGACTCACCAAAAGCATCAGGACAGAACTTCACCATCACTGACTTCAGAGCTGAACACAGTGGGAATTATTACTGTGAAGCCCAGAACAGAAGAGGACGTCATAACTCCATCTTACATCTGATTGTTGTGGCAGGTAAGTTTTCTACATTCACCTGTATACACAGACATTTACTGCACCAGACCTGATTCACATATTAATATGTAAAAATCGACACATTCTCACTCACATAAGAAAATAAAATGTCCTGTCTGTATTTCCTCCATCATGTCAGAGGTGGATCACACTGACTGACTGACTAACAGACAGAATCACCTGGCAAAGTGATTTATTCATATAATCCTGCTAATGAGGGACCTTACATCTGTCTGTATTTTTAGGGAATTCATCAATAATAATGAATATCATCAGGTTGACTCTGGTGGTCTTGATGCTGATTACTCTGCTTCTCCTGAATCTGTGGATGAGGTAAAACAATCACAATCCATCAGTTCAGTCACCGCTCTTTTATTCTTCAAACTTCTTTTAGTTTTAGTTTTGTGAATTTTATCATGTTAAAATTTGTATTTGTTGTTGTTGGACTCAATCCAGGAAGAAGAAAACTCTGAGGTCCACCACAGAACCAAATGAACCTATAGAGGTGAGAGAGAGAGAGAGACAAAAGACCTCAAATAAATATTACATATGCTAAACCTGCTCTCGCCTCATGTAGCTACATGGTAGAAGATCAGAGACCTCTTAAAGATATCACATGATAATAGTTTAGCATGATATATATATATAATTCTAAATGAATAGTGATACAAGATGATTATATGGTGTAAATCAGAACTGAGCCAGAACATTACAGTAAATTAAAAAAGAAGAATCTTGTATATTTCTGAAAATCAACAAAAAGATGCTTTGTGCTGAGCAACATGTCTACATGTGTGCCATCTATATACCTAATTAGAATCCCCCTACTACAACCCAGATATTTTCTCTATTCTTGAGGAAGAAATTAACCATTATAAAACCACAGGAAATGTGTTAATCTGTGGGACTTGAACACTAGAACAGGGGATAGCCTATTTGAACCATGGCTATGAAACTGTTTTCTAGCTTTCAGCGTAGCTCTCTTTATTGCTTTGACCTCTATAATCAGTGTGTTCCTGGCCCGGTTGTACAGGACTCTGTTCCCACTTCTGAAGGCCTCCTCTTTGGTCTGACGAAGCTCCCTGAGTTTCTATGTGAACCAGGGTTTTTGGTTGTTGTATGTGCGGAAGGTTTTAGTCGGCACACACATGTCCTCGCAAAAACTGATGTAGGATGTCACAGTGTCAGTTAGTTCATCCAAGTCAGTGGCTGCAGCCTCAAAACTACTTCAGTCAGTGCAGTCAAAGCAGACCTGTAACTCCAGCTTTGACTCGTTGGTCCATCTTTTCACAGTCTTTACAACAGGTTTAGCAGATTTCAGTCGCTGCCTGAATGTCGGCATAAGATGTGTCGGGATAGTGACTGCGAACCCAGCTTGCAAAACAAGTAGCCAACATAGTCTTTAATTTCTTTTTTCGTATAGAAGTACAAGTATATAAGGTAACACTTTCTATGAAGGTCATCGCTATAATGACTTATACATATATTTATAACACGATATAATGTGTCCATAAGACATTATAACAATTGTTATAATCACTTACAAACATGCATTAGGCGCTATAGCAAAGTTCATAATGTATTATGACCTTTTGATTTAATGTTTTATAACTAATAGTAATACCAGTTTATATCAATGCAAGAATCTCTGACCATGTTCCATAACACATTATAACCACCGACTCTGCCTCCTTATGAATACACTTTAGTCACCATTTACAATTAGTGATATAAAATGGAATAATAGCTTATAGTAATGTTTAATGTTATATAGCATGTCTTTGTTTGCTTTAAGTAAAGTGTTAAAATATCTATCCCTGTATAATATATTACAGGTGGACATAATATGAACTAATTATAAGACCTTCTAACACGTAATTGTTTGCTTTAAGTAAAGTGACACACATTTTGCGCAGGAAAACAACTTTTATTTATGTTTCTTCACTTTATGAACAATCTGTATGAATTTCGAACATTTTGCAGTTTAGCACAAAAAACAACATAATTACATCAAGAAAAGTCGTTGTCAGGGTGGTGAAAGATCGCTGAAGAGAAGACCTGTTGCCGACCAACATCATGTAAGAAGAGGCTCAGATGTTGTCACAGATGAATGGCGAGCCTATGGACAGGCCCTAACAGATGCAGTGGACGATTAAAGACAACCACTTCACAAAACGTATAAAAAGACATTTTAAAGTAATTGAATGGGAATACTTTTGGGCAGTAGGAATGAAATCTCTTGGCACCTCACAATTCGATTTGATTACAATTCAGAGGGCAGCGATCCATCTTGATGCATCTTTTTTCTGTGTAAATTCTGGATAATTACTAAACATTTCGTTTACACATTAAAATCCAAAAGAAATGTCTCCTCAATTGCTTTAAAGGACTAGTTTACATCCCTGATTTACTTTAGTAGCCTCAGCTCCTCCGTGGTCACCAGCGTCCTACTTTAACAACCAGTTGTCTGACTCCTCTGGACACTGAAATATAACACTGGTCTGTAAAGAACGGTTTTGGCTGCAGTGTACGTAACGTTAGCTAAATTAGTAACGGAGTAATGTTAATTAGTTGCGTGTCATTAATACCTAACTTGTTGAGCAATGAGAACAGCAGGTTTAAGCTAAACTGTGTTTAACTGTGTCCCGTACACATACTGTCCATCCTGCTAGTTAAGTTAAATTATATTTCAGTGTCCAGAGGAGTCGGACAACTGGTTGTTACATTGTGACCAACATATTTTTAAATATAGTGAGTACTAATATAAAAATCTACAATTTAATTTTTTTTCTCTCACAATGCAATAACTATAACCCATTATTCTGTATGGCAGGGAAATTTGGGGACCACAACTAAATATTGAATTTGACAAATGGGACAAAACAATTGTAGAATCTTTCCACAGCGAGTTCTGTAAGAGCATCCTACAGGTGCAGAGAAAAACACCAAATAATCTGTGTAGAGCAGAGCTCGGCCAATAATTAAATTTTACAATCGCTTAAAATCAGTTAACCCCCAGACATATCATCACAAAGCCCTAACATACCAGGAGCTGAAACCAGAGAAGAGTCCCATCAGCCAGCTGGTCCTCAGGCTCTCTGCAGTAACAAGTCCCCAACAGCCTCAGGACAGCAACACCAACTCAAGCAGACCAAATTATCAACAAGCAAAAAGAATAAATATACTGAATACTGGCAAGAAACAACCAAAACACAAAGCAAATTACAATGTTATCTGACCCTAAAAAGAGAATTCACACTGGCAAATTAGCTGAGCACAGTAAACTAAGAAAAGTGTTGACAACATACAGCCTGGCCAAAGAAAAGGGCTACCAGAAGAAGAGAGACTGCTCCCAGTTTGACAGAGAACATGTTGAGACAGAGCTGCACTTTCTAACCTCATGTCCTAAATATAAAACCTTAAAAGAAAAACACTTCCCAAACATTTCCCAAATCTACCTCAAGTTCAAATTATATCAGACAGACAGAAACTCTCTTATTTACTTTGGAAAATGCCCAAATGCCAAATCATGGCAGCAAAATTTATCTCCTCATACTACAAACTGAGGACAACCAGTGGAAACTCAGACTAGACTGATAGACTAGATTGTACACTAATATTATATTATTATTATTAGTTTAATCATTATTGTTTGTAATTTTAAAAGAGAGAGGCTAAGCATTTGGTCAAAAAAATAATTCACTTTTAAACCTGATTTGATGTTTTATGAATTCTAATTATATGCAGGTTTAATGAAAGAGGTTCATTGAGCCTCATTTTGTCGTCTCTCCCATCAGTTAAACTCTGATCCTGTGTATGAGAACATCTCAGACTTTAAGAGCGTCACTGCAGCACAGACAGAAGACACAGAGCAGCAGGAAGACATGGTGTGAAGTCCAGTCAGGTTAGAGCCTCCTGCATCCAATAAAACAGGCCGACTTCAGATTTACAGTGAAATTTAAAACTCTAACTTTACTTTAAGTTTTATGTGATTTTCTTCAGATGCAGTTGAACCAGACTCATGGAAACAAAGTAGGACGACTGAAATATCAACGCAGAGATCGAAGCTGTGGAGGAAGTGGATCCATTTACCTACAACTCCAAACGTTTTCCTTTTCAGTTTCCAGTAGCAGCAGCAGGGTGGAGTCAGCAGCACAGACAGCAGCCGCATGTAGCAGAAAGTTTAGAAGAAGGTGGTGTTGGCAGGTTGAACTGAATCATGTCGACGTTTCAGACGTGATTTATTGTTTAGATCAGCGGATAGTCAGGTTGTCTGTGACTTATCTTACTGCTTAAACTATAATGTAAGCTTATTATTTCCAGTTAGTTATATTAGTTAGTTATATTACAGAATGTGAGGACTGAACTGTGAAGTTTTTATGGAAAATGTTATTTTGAACTGAACAAAATAAACAACTTCTGTGTTTGCACCTGTCCTGGTTGAAGTCTGTTCAAAACAGGGACAGTGAACTGAAAGCATCACATTTAACTCCATATACACTATTTCACACATTGCAAGTAGCACACTTTGCTAGATGTTACTTTTTCTAAGAATTCCTGTGGCTGATTCAAATTAACAGCCAGCTTCCACAACAAGTGATGGACCTGTTGGACAACTCTGTAGTTGGAAACATTTGTGTGATAAAGGTTTGGATTTCAGCTTGTCTGCTAATTTTTCAGAACATAATGTTATTTACCAGCTTTAAATAAAATTAAAATGTGTTCTTTTGCTTTGGCTTATTCTTCACATTCTCAGTTCTTGTCACTATGAGGATGAAATGTGCCACAGTGTAATAGATGATTTGGGATGTTGCTGATATGAGGATGCACAGACAGTTTAATGAAGAGAAGCTTAACCTAACTTTGAGCTGCAAATGTCAATTTAGTCCATTTTTGGTGTCATATATGGGAGCAGAGCAGGTTGAGGTTAACTAAATGTGAAGCCTTTCAGAATAAAAGACCATCATTGATAGCTTATGCAAAACCAATCACAAAAATCTAAAGTTTGTTGCTATTGTGAGTCAAAGATGTCGGTCCCCAATATCTGCATTGACACTTTCTGAACTTTATCTGGACCTCTAATACTTAATGAATTAAATGTCCAGGGTAAATGAGCTAAAATGCAAATAATTTTGTGTAGAAGTGAAAATAAAGCAACAAAGGTAGATTTGAGTAAACATTCAGTGATGGATGGTAAAATGTTTTAGCGTCCTGATTCAGTATCTGTGATGTTTCACTGTCCTCTAGTGGGGAAGCTTCAGTGTGGCCCATTCAGGCTTCATCTCTCTGCTCCCTCCGCTGTCTGTTTTAAAGAGTCAGTTCATCCAACTTATAAAAAGATATATATTCTCTCTTACCTCCAGGGGTCTCTAGCCATACATTGAGTTTAAGTTGTTACTGTGAGGTTTGGATGTTTTTTCAAATGTTAGGTGACTCATTCTCTGTGTTTTAATACTAATTTAAATCTAGGACATCTCTACACACAGTTTAACCAAATGAACCACCTAAATAATCAAAGTCATTAAAACACTTTTTTCATAATCAACATCATTATACCACTGTTGTGTGTCCGTACCAGATCCTACCAGTCCACTTGATTATGTGTTACATGCTCATGTTTGGTAAACACTAACATGCATGTGAGTTTCTCAGGTCTCAGTGTTCTGTATGTCTCAGCAAAGAGAAGCAACCTGACTGAAAAGTGAACAGAGAAGAAAGAAACCAGGAAAAAAACATTCTGATTCATAAATTATTGTTTTCCCTTCTTATAATTAACTCTGCTTTTCATCAAGTTCAGTAAAACAGCCTCATTCACAGGTTCAATGTATTCCTGTTCCTTCACTGCACCTGCAGACTGTGTGACATCCTGCCTCAGTTCACACAGAGATAAAGAGTCAGAATGACTGTGAGTGAGTTGCAAACTGTAATTGTTAAAAAACATTTCCTTATCATTCATTCTGTCTAATCCTTCTTCTCTCTGACATGTTTCTCAGCACTGCTGTATCACTGTCACTTACAGAATGACAGTGAGTGAGAGAGATTCAAAATGTAATTTAAGACAAAGTTTATTTACGTTCTGATTTCTGTGATTTTAATTCATTGTTTCTGATCTACTTTTCTTACATGTTTCTCTATACTGAATAAACACTGAGCTCAGCATGTGACTTTTTACATCCCATTCTTCTGCATCTCTGTGAACTCATACTGGTATAAAGGTTTTTTCACTGTCTAAAGATGCACTTGAAGTGTCAAGTGATGCATCAAACCAACTTTTACATAATGCTTAAAAACATAATTTGTTTTCTCTTTTTGAATGGTCTTTTCTTGTGTCAGTGGTAAGCAGCAAAACAGGTTTAATACCAACAGGTCATAAGACTATTTTCTTATTCTCTATAGTTGTAAAATGTCAAACTTTATTTTGCTAACTTGCATTCAGCTCATCATGTATATTGATAATCTCAAGAAGTTGGAAAAGCTAGAGCAGATTATAATAAACAACACCCAAAAGGCTAAACTTGCTAAAGAAATGTACTGGGGAATTTTGATGCACTGCACAATGATTTTATATTCATGGCACAGTATTCAAGCTGTTTTGCACCTCACCTAAACCTTATAATGACAGGGAAACCCTGATCACATTACCTCAGAGTCATTATAGATAGGATTGTGCATGTTTGTCTTTTGTGTTTAAATGACACAATGCACATTTTGAACTTTGACTGCCGTGTGTGCACAAGCGAGCTTGCAAGTAAATAATAATAAATAATAGGATTTATAGCACAGCGGTGCCGTCGTCACGGTGTGTCTGAAAGGCCCATAAGCTTGTACCTGATGTCCTCAACCCTGGACAAGACATGCGGCTTAGTAACATTAGGCTACTTCCAATAAATGTAGCTAACGTTACATAGCAGCCAAAAAACGTGCTGTTAGCTTTCCTGCTCATCTTCCAGACCAGAGTCTGAAGCCCAGGGAAGATGTTTGCTAGCGTCAACGGCAAGTTCGAGTGAATTGGATATTGGAAAGATTTCCAATCTGGCCACGTAAATTATGATTTTGGGTCTCTTTTGACTGTGTATAACTGAGCAAGACTTTGTGTTTGGACTTCTCTGTGCCTGTGTTCACCCTGCTTTTATTCAGAAAAGACATAAAGCTTTAAATAATTAGAACAGACAGGTAACACGTGGGAGAAGAATGATACATGTAGCGCTCCTACCCTCTAGCAAGTGTGTATGGGCAGGGCCCTGAGTTCTTTTAGTCAGTCACTGTCTACTGGAGCGAAGTGTCGATGCCCATGAGCGGGGACAGACAGGAGCAAAAGAGATGAGCCTTCGGCGTCCTTTTCCCACGTGGCCAGAGAAACTCTGAGCAGCCTGGTAGCTCAGAGCGCTATCTGGTTTTCTTCAGCGTTTCCTCGTTGAAAACATTGTATAAGTCCACTTGATTAGCTTTGCTAGCTAACTGAAGATATACTGTCCGTTCACTTTTCCAATGAATGTACTATGTAGCTTACTGTGCTACTTTATTTAGCCAGCATTACATACCCCGTGAAACAGTCAATCAAGACTCCTCGGTGGATTCTTCGACTTCCCACGAACTAGCAGACATAATCCCAGCACAGAATGTCGAGTAGACAATCCCGAAATTAGCCCACAGCTTGGTATGAACGTTAGTTAAGACTTCTCACTTTACTTCGTCTGCAAAGCTAACACAGTTCTCCGAACTCTTTTTTCCTCGTCTCTGTCCATCACTCCGCTCACACACTCCACCTCGCCCCTCCCGCACCTGCTCATGCACTCCCCTCATGCCCACTCGAATCACCCAATCAAAACCGACTCCTAGACTCCAGCACAACCACCACAGATAGACAAGTTGCATATACAACCCATTAACTCGTCATAACATGTTTTTTTAACTAAACATTATCTTTTAGTTATTTATCAAATAACATGTGCAACATACAACAGTTTTAACAAAAATACATCACCATATTTTTACCATCAATATTCCATGACTTTTAATATCAAATTTACTTATAATAAACTCTTTTAACCCAGTATACTATTTATTCTGGGTTACATACAGAACAATCAAGTATTTTATGTACCACTGTTCTGCTGCTCTATCCCAGTAAAGTGTGTAAAATGTCATTTTATTCATTTCATTTTGGATAACTTGTGTGTTGAGACGTAAGCTGTACTTGCAGTTATTTTAAGAAGAACGCACCAAAGCAGAAACACCCAGAGGAAACAAATATTCATAACATTATAATATGATAAACACCTTATAAAATTCTCTGTTCCAGTTCAGGTTCAGGAACTTTTTATGACAAAGACTCCAAATAATTGGTCAGATAATTGAGGATTTTGAAGCTTGTCCAGGGTAAGTTTCCCCAAATCATATTGGTAGTAGAGCTGAACAATTACTTGCTTTCAATTAATTACTAATTACCAATAATTACTTGAGATAATCATGATTAAAAAGTTGGTTAATTATACAGAGCATCTGACTCGTTTTAAACAGTCATGCAGTTACAAATTCATTCCATTGTCATCCTTGTGTAACAGACTCTCTTGTCAATCACAAGCATCATTCGCAGGCTCGGATTAAGAAGTCAGAGGCCCCTGGGCACAATGTCTTTTAGGGCCTCCACCCGCCGACCCACACACACATGCGCACAATCAAGATTTTGAATTATTATTTGTTGGAAACACCTCAAGTTAATACAGGACTGATTTATCTGCTGGACGATATTATCGGCCAATATGAGCTAATTCCATTTAAATTGGTATCTGCGTTTCTAACAGCCCCTGTGTGGCTTGACTGTGTATATGTACCGCATAGTGTCATCGGAAGGTGCTCTGCAACTCCCCTGTACACATCCTCCATCATACAGGATTGGTGATAACAGCACCACAAATCCACCACATAACAAAGCAATCAGCTGACCAGAGTGAGCAGAGCATACAGAACCAATTACATTACATTAACATTATCTAGCTACTCTTTCAAATGTGCAAAGGTGTGAAATCTTAAAATTGTAGACAGTCATGTAGTAGTTGAGAAATGGTTTCCTGTAGCTAAAGAGTGCTGGTTGTGAATATGCTTATTCTCTCTCACTTTCTCTGCATGTTCTAGCAAATATTTGATGTGCAGTTGTTTCCATGTTCAGTTGTTGAGACTGTAATCTAATTTTTTTTAACATAATCCATTTAGGAAAAGGTATTATAGCGTACATACACAACAGCTCTCAATATCGTCTCTACAGGATTCACACTGATCAACACCTGTACACATCCTCCATCATACAGGATTTGATACCACATGATTGAAACAATGCTTTCCTGGACCAGCAGCAACAATATCAATACATATCCGTGCTTACTGTAAATCATGGCATTATGTAAACACATACTGCCAACCTCTAATCCAG